AGAGGAGATGAGCATCCTGGCTTTCATCTTTGCTCCTGATTTCCAAGGCTGTGAGCAGAGCATGCACTAAAGCGTGGTTCTGTGTTCCAGATCTAGAGGGCCCAAAATCGAACCCTTGTCACTACTGCCCTCATTTCCTGAGAAGCTTTTTTGATGATTGGGGAATAGTCATCAGAGGCTGCTTTGGGGCATGGGGGTTCTTGTAGCATCACTTCATCCTGGCAGATGCCTTTGACTTTCAAATATAAATAGAAAAGTAGAGAGATATATGACAAGGATTGACTATCCATCTTTTTTTTTTCTCAGCAATACACTAAAACCTTTGGAGAAAAATCACTTGCTGAAAAATCCAGTTCCATTAGCATTAAGAATGATTTTTTTTAATTCATTTTTGACTTTTTTCTTACGGCCATGGAGTCATTCTCTAGAATAGCAGATGGAAACATTGATGCAAAGCGGCTGGGTTTTTTTTGATCTGTTGTGCTGCCCCTTGCTCAAGTTTTATGAAAAAAATAGCTTTATTATCTGTCTGGAAAATGAGGGCAATCATTTACTTTTGTGACTCTTTTAAACAGATTTCCATTTTGAGAGTTTGAAAAACCAGGAAAAAGAAAGCGTGACCTAGCCCAAAGTGGGCCGCCTAATCTTTGCTCTTGGCACACTCAGCAAGGGCTCACTTAATCTTGGTGGTTGCACTGTAACCATTGGATTTGGGAGGGATCAAGAGAGGTTGTCTGGATCATTGCCCTGGCATCAGGTGGGATTGCGTTTAACCCCCTGCAGACAGATGGAAATCTGTAGGGGTTTTCAAGGCTCCTAGAAAAAGAACTTCCAGAACCTCTTTGCTAGTAGGAAAGTTTTCCTTCTGTTTTCTTGGAGACCCTATGTCCCAGCAAACCTCAGTTCATGGGCCACTTGCTACATGAGGCCTTCCCTGCAGCCCCCAGCTGCTAGACTTGCCCAGAAATCTCTCCGTTTCTAGGCTTGTGCTGTTATAGAGTGAGAGCGAGGAGGGACTCTAGAGGCCAGCTGTTTCAAGGCCCCCATTTTATAGATCAGCTCAGACTCAGGAGCTTAAATGGCCCTTTTCTGTGTCTGCTGTTTCCTTCTCTGTTGTGCGTCATAGAGCATAAACCCAGCTGGTCCGTAGGTGCCTGTCAAATGCTCCTGGAATTGCCAGCTGAAACCTGTTTGGCTGGCTGGTTGGTTTCCCCTGCTTTGAGATTGTGCAAGACGCATCTTGTACTCGGGCCTCACAGGTGGTGCAGTGGGTAGTGCCAGGCCTGGGGTAGGGAAGACCCAAGTTCAAGTGTGGCCTCATCTGGGTGACCCTGAGCAAGTCCCTTAACCCTGTTTGCCTCAGTTTCCTCATCTGTAAATGTTGATAATATTAGTACCTACCACACAGTGCCTGGCACATAGTAAGCACTATAGAAATGCTAGTTATTATTATTATTAAAGAGGAATTCATGCCCAGCTAGTGATCCTGGGTTGTGTATTTCTTGCCTTTGATTGTTGACGTTATGGAGGTTTTGGCTTGGATAGTGGCTCCTTTTTTCTAGGGCACTTTTGAATTTTGATGTCTCACAATTGCACTCGCCTCTCTGTAAGAGTCTGGAGAATTTCCTTACTCAGATGATGTATGCAAACAGCCCAGCCCCAGAGTGGCTCTTGTGGTCTGGCCCAGGGATAGGTAACCAGTGACCTGTGTGTGTGTGTGTGTGTGTGTGTGTGTGTGCCTGTGCATGTGTACGTGTATGTATGCGCGCGTGTGTGTGTGTGTGTGTGTGTGTGTGTGTTAGTGGCTGAATTGTGTCACCACCTCATAGGTAACTTATCCGTGCTGTCCTCTGTGTGAAGTACAGGAAGGAGATCCTGTGAGACCGTGTCAGGTAATGGATGGAGTATAAGACCACAGTACAGATTCCACCTCTGACAATAACATGTGGATGCAGTTGTGTCGCTCCTCTTCTCCAAGCCTCAGTTTTTTCATCTGCAGAATGGGCGCAGTGATAGCTGAGTACCTACTTCATATGGTTATCAAGTGAGAGAGTGTAGTGGAGGTCTTTGTAAGTGCTAACTATCATATGGATGTCAGTTCCTGCTACTGTCCCGGGGGTATCTAGCAGTAAAACATACGGGTCACGTGTTACAAAAGCCATCCCTAGAGTTCGTGGGTTGTTTGTACAACTCACCTGAATAATGCAGTGAGGCAAAATTCAAAATTCAGACTCAGAATTCAAAAAGACGTTGATAAATTGGAGAAAACATCAGAAATAATCTCAGTGATATCAAGAAGCAATAAATATAGAATAAGAAATAATATTCCAATTTATCATGTCCCATTCCCCCGCCCCGCCCCGTTTTACCAGCTTCTGTCATTCTAGCCAGGTGTCTGAAGGCTGGAAAAGAATCCAGTGTAGTCAGAACATTTTGAGTTAGGCAGAAGAATGCTTAGGCTTAAATGGGGGGGGGGGGGGGTTAGAAGGAAGAGAAAGCAAATAGGCATTTAACACCTGTGCCAGACACTGTGCACATATTAAGTATTATCACTTTACAAATGTTATCTCATCTGATCCTCACAAAAGCCCTTTCTGTTTCACTTTCCCTTCCCTTCCCTTCCTTTTCTTCCCTTTCCTTTCTTTTCCTTTTCTTCTCTTTCCTTTTCTTTTCCTACTCTCTTCTCTTCTTTCTCCCCTCCTCCTTCCACCTCCCCTCTTCTCCCATCTTCTCTCTCTTTTCTATCCTTTCCTTTTCTTTTTTCATGTATGGGTTTATCCTGACTGTTGTCCCAGAAACTTTCCAGTGGTTTCTTCCAGGTCTAGGCAAATATATTCGTCTAGCAGGGATAGGCTAGCTTCTGCTGCTTTAGACAGTCGTCATCATGGAAATCTCCCCCCCCCCATTCACCTCTGAGCTGTACCTCTACCTCTGATGGGTCATTGTAACAGGAAAATGAATATCTAGCATCAGGCCAGGAATAATGCCTTTTGGTCCGCGTTTAGTCCCTTTAAACATGCATCTTTTCAAAGTGAGGGAATGGTGCTGGCTTAGCGGCGGTATGACCCAAGTTGTGCTTAATTATCCCTAAATCTCTCAGGGTCTGGGAATCTGTGCACATAGTTTGGAGAATAAAACTGTCATTTAGACCCTAAATGACAGTAAGGTTGGTGGAGCCTCATCGTCCCTAAGAGTGAGCATGGTCTTACTGGTTTCCTTATGCCCATCTCTGACATCAAAGTAACAGTTGAATTACCCATGATTTTCATAGGAGATTTTGTCTAGCCTCTTTGCCAGTCTGCCTTTCCTCTGGTCAGTCCTGAATGCCTCAGCAAAAATTGCTCTATTGAAGCAATGACTGCTTGCTTGTTTTTTAAAACATCTTAATTCTTTGTGAAATTGACATTCAACAAACAAGTATTTTAGCATAGCGAGAACAAGAAAGAGGATTGAATCAGAAGCTAGACTTCTCTTATTTATTGTTTGTTCTTAAGAAATATATATATATATATATATATACATATATATATAATATATATATATATACATACATATATATATATAATATATCACATTTAACATAGAATGTGTCAAAACTGGTTTATTTGTGCCTGCTTTTATACTTTTGTGTTCTGTGCATTAAAAATGTCATTTGAGACTTTTTTTGATGGCAAATCTATTATCACTCTCTAATTTATGTCCTAAAAACAAAACAACCGAAAGAAAATTTCACTTGTAGCAAATATATATGGTCCATCAAGATAGGTCAACACAGCAGCCACATCTGAAGATACATATCTCCTTCTCCATCTCTGGTCTGCCAAAAAGTGGGAGGTGTCTTTGAAGTCAGAGTTATCATCTACTTGGATCAGAGTTCTGAGGTCTTTCACAGTGGTTCCCCTTCATAGTATTGTTACAGTAACCATGTCAGTTGCTCTCCTGGGTCTTCTCATCCCCATTTACATCAGTTCATTTAAGTCTTTCCAGGTGTTAGGATTCATCACATTGATCATTTCTCACACTGTAACCGTATTCCCTTATATCTATATGTCACAGTTTTTCAACTATTCTCCATTTGATGGGCACCTATTTTGTTTATACGTTTTATTGTTGTGATGACTAACACCACACTACATTCTGTGTGTGTGTGTGTGTGTGTGTTGTGTGTGTGTGTGTGTGTGTGTGGATGAGGGTCCTTTCCTTCTGTCCTTGACCTTTTTGGGGATTGATGGCTACCAGTAGTTTTGTTGGATCAAAGGGCAGAAACAATCTAGTGACCTGTTTTCCAGAGTGGTTGAACCAGTTCACAATTCCAGCCACAAGCAGTGCCCCAGGGTGCCTGTCTGTCCACAACTGCTCTAAAGATTTCTGCTTTCCCCTTTTGTCTGTTGGTTCATTATTCCAGCAAATCAGTTACTCTTCAGAATTCCCCAGTGTCTCCCCAATGGCTTAGTCGTTGGGTTCATAATCCTACAGCTCTTCTTCTTTAATTAGGTTCAGTGAAAATGTATTAAGCAGAGTAAATGCAGAGTATACACTGTGCTTTTATGTACATTTCTAGACTATCAGTCTGGCCCATTCTACCTCATGAGTCCATATGTTTGGCTCCCATTTTCCCATGTCTTAATTGTTCCTATCTTGGAAAAGGATGGACCTAAGGGGATGATCTAATATAACCCCACCATTTTTCAGACGAGGAAACTGGGGCCCAGTCACTTGGCCCAGGTCAAATGAGTAGGAAATAAAAGAGCTCAGATTTGAACCAAGGCCCTCTGGGCCAAGATTGCCGCAGAATGAACATCAACGTATGGGAGCACAGCAAGTAGAAAACTTAGTAGGTAATGGTTCTTTACCCAGCTGAAGACTAATAGGTTGACTATAGTAGGAACATCTTTCATCGTATATGCAAGATCCTGTTCCCTTTCCCAGTCCATCCCTGTTTCTAGAAATTATACCGCATTGGTTTGAGAATGGACTATTCTTTTTTTCTTTCTTTGCAGTTGTATATGAACACAGATCAAGACTAGAAAAATCTTTACAGAAGGAAAGACTTGAACACAAGAAAGCGAAAGAAGGTAAAAACATTTTTCATTTGGCTCTCATATTTTTATTGCTCAGTATTCTAATGTCTGCTATGTTGGTTTTCCATTTGTTTTGGAGTGACGGATCTGAAATTGAGCCAAGGGCAGTGTCAGAAAGTGGACCTACTATGTTCATTGTTACACCAAGAATTGAAGACATCAGAATTAGAATGTGTGTGTGTGTGTGTGTGCATATACACACACACACACACATATATGTATAAAACACCTATGAGTTTCTCGTCCAATGCTTAGTCCCTTCAGCTAGACTTACTTCTCAAATAGGTTTTGCTCTGTCAGGGAGTGATGATGTTGCAGCCAGGGGATTATTGGCTGGGTCCTTGGGTCATCTAGTTCATCACTAGATCTGTGCTCAAACACTTTCCACCTTGGTGGATCTGGCCATAATTTTACTTGATCTCTATGAGTCATTGGACCTGTGGATATAAAGGTCACTCATGGTCACTAAGCAAGTTGAGGAGGCAACATTATGTAGAGAGAGCCCTGGATTTAGAGTCAGAGACATGGGTTCAGAAGGTGCTCAGACACACTTAGTAGCTGTGTTACCTTGGGAGAGTCATTCAACTGCCTTGAGCCTCAGTTTACTTATCTGTGAAAGGAGGGGGAGTTGACCTTGATGACCTCCAAGATCCCTTCCATCTCTAAGTCAATGATTCTATGACTTTCTCTAAATGTGTTTTTGGTATTCTGTATGTTTCTTTATATATCCTTTCTTGACAGGAAATATCTATAATGGACCAGAATTGACATATCATGTTTAGCACAAGTAATAAATTTCTGCTTTTGCTAGGGTGTCTTCCAAAGCATGTGCAGTCCGATGAATGCCCTTTGATTGGCATATGTCCTTTGTTGAATCTGATCATTATTGTTTAAATGCACGTAAAAATTCTGGTATGAGAAGAAATGTGTGTTGACATAATTGACATTTTTTATTTTTATTTTTTTGCTTTTTGGTGAGGAGATCAGGGGTAAGTAACTTGCCCAGGGCCACACAGTTAGTAAGTGACAAGTGTCTGAGGCCGGGTTTGAACTCAGGTCCTCCTGACTCCAGGGCTGGTGCTCTATCCACGGCACCACCTAGCTGTACCAATTGACTTTTTTTTTAATGAAAACTTTTCGGAAAGCACAGCTCCTTTGGGACTTTTGCAATTTCAGGCACCTTGCATTTCCCATTTTCTTAAGGTCATCCTCCAATTCAAGGTCACGACAGTCCTTCCTGTACTTTGGGAACCTGGAAGGGTAGATGACAAATGTCATTAGTTGGATTATCTTATTAAAACCTTGAGGTTGTCTTCTGAATAATAACAACAACAACAACAGTAACACTTGTATAGTTTACAAGGTGTTTAAAAAATATCGCTTTATCCTTAACAACCATGGGAGGTGGGTATTTTTATTAACTTCATTTTAAGTATGAAGTTTAAAGTGTGTGCTCATGTTTTGAGGAGAAACAGTCTACTAGCTTTCTTGTTTGCAGATTCTGAATGATTTTATGGAGCCATCTAGTGGACAATAAAGCTTAAGAACCGTTAAAGCTCTTTGGATGGCATGATTTGAACTAGTCTGCTCTTCCCATCTTGAATGGTTTTGTGGTGCCATCTAGTGGCTGGTGATAAATCATCCCTTGTTTCATTTTCTCTAATAGAATGAAAGCTAATCTGAGAGAAAATTCACTTTTTATAGAGTGTTTTTTTTGTTGTTGTTGTTGGTTTGTTTTATTCAGATTTTAAGGTCAACAAAAAAGAAAAAAATAGTTCTCTTCTATTTAGTAACAAAATTTGCTAGACAGAACAGCCATAAGGAAGTGATTTTTTTTTTTAATTTAGAACACGGACCTCATGAGATGAGCATTTTTCCATTTAGACTGGCATCGTAAAACATCCTAGGATTCACTGTCTCTCCATGTGTCTCTTTTCTTTTTATTTCCCAGATTTTCTGGTTTATAAATTAGAAGCACAAGAAACACTAAATAAAGGAAGGGTAAGTTTTTCAATGTGTGTGCCCACGTGTGGTTGATTAACCAGAATGTTTGTTACTAAGCCATTTGTACAGGAAAAGCCAAAAACTTTATTTTAATTCAATCACACAAAGATACGTCCAGTGCCTCCGTATGAAACACTCCGGGGGTAACAGAAACAAAATGAATAAAGTACAAAATGGATGGTTTGTGTCCTCCAGAAGCTTATATTCAACGTTTCCTCGGACAAAAAACTTGCTCTGAATCTAAGAAAATAAATCCAATAAATGAACACTAACAATAATAAAAGCTTCATTTGCTACTTGAGTTGGAAGGCAATGAGTAGCTAGTGGTTTCGGTGAATTATAGCCACAGCAAAGTCACCTCCAAGACTACCAGGCTCTCTGTTGTTATTCACTGGCCAAGTCTCAAACATTCTAAGGAGACGAAATATTTCCCTGGCTGTGATTAAGGATGGATAATTCTCTACAGGAAGAGCTCATGCCTTTCCTGGGTGGAGGAATTTGTGGTGTGGGGACTTATCACTCTGGGCAGCTAAGAGACTTGTCCATGGTCACACAGGTATTAAGAGGCAGATTGGAACTCAGGTCTTCTTGACTCCGATGAAATGTGTAATTTAGCTGCTTTGTTTAGCTATGAAAGGCTAGGCTAGAGTCAGCTTTAAAGAGAGAGGAAGAAAACAGGATAAAAGGAATAGATTCTGGCAATTGATATTTTTATGCAGGCTAGTCACAGATGCTGAGTCTTACACATATGAGATCCTTCTAGGCTGGAGATCAACCTCCCTGTTCTTTGTGCTTCCTTTGATTCCACAAAAATGTGAATTTTCTGGGACATTGTTAAAGACAGGCCATCCCTAAAACATGTCAGGTTGTTTCCTTATATGAAAACCTCTGTGTATTCATTACAAGAGGGAAACTAAATGTGTGAATCCTCCTAGTCCTGTGGCTGTGAAATTGTTATCCTCAGACTCTGGGTATGTGAATATAGAAGCCAGATGTAAGTTGGCTCGGTCACCTACGTCACGTGAAAGTCTTGGCGGTCCTAGGAGTAAGTGAGGCCGAGCTCGTGGGCAGCTCTCTCTTCCCTACACCTGGTCTCGTAGAATGGAATGATTTGGAGTATTACCACCCTCTTCTTATGTCTTGACCCGAGTTTTAAGCATAATTCCTGCCATATGCTTTGTCCATGTAACTTCAGGCGAGGCTGTTAATATCTGTTGTTTGTCAGCTCCTTGAGGTCAGGAACTTTTTGTTTGTTTATCATCTTCATATCCCCCTTGTGCCTAGCACAATGCCTGGCACACAGTAGGTGCCTAATAATTGCTCGTTGGGTCAGCCTGTTGCTGAACTAAGTTTGAATCCTTGCTCTCCTCCTTACTCCCTGTGTCCCCTTGGGAAAGTCTCTTCACTTGTGGGCCTCACTTTGCTCATTTGTGAAATGAAGTGGTGCCTTTGGAAGGCCCTGTTCCTTATATAAAACAGGTCCACGGATGGGACCTTCGCAATCCACGCCTCCAACACCCGCATTTTATAAATGAGGCTCAGAAAGGTGAAAATGCCTGCCAAGGTCACTCACTCAGGTAGTGAGCAGTGGAGGCAATATTTGGAACCAAGTAGTCTGAGGACTTCCAATCCAATACTAACTTTTACTCCAGCTCCAGTTTTTTCATCACTTAAATATGACAGCCATACCTGACCCTTTCAGCCTTACTGCTAGCGTGATATAAAGAGACTCTCTGTTCTAGTTCTGAATTCAGTTTAGAAGCAAAATCATTCTCTTAACAGCTCGAGGCTGAGTTTCACATGAGTCAGATCTGGTGTCTTTGCATTGACTTTTTTTCTTCTCCAATTTTACAGCAAGATTCCAACAGCAGATACAGTGCGTTGAATGTACAACATCAGATGTTGAAAGTGAGTATTAGGTAAAATATGGCCCTTAAAAAAGGCCCCTCTTGGTGAGCGAAGGAACGAATTAATTGCCACTTAAGATGATTCGTAATGCTGGTCCATGGAGTGATTAAGGGAAGGTTGGAGAAGATCAGTGGATGTGAATCTATGGCAGATAAACTAGGGACATGGTTGGAAATGATGCACGCTCATCAGGGCCCTCTCCATCATCGCTTAGCTAAACTCTGCGTGTTTAGCTTATTTTATCTTTCCTCGTAATTCAGGCATCGAGTCCCCTCATCCTTCTCATTGCCATCCTTGGCATCATTTCAGGTTTTTTTTGGTTTTTTTTCTTTATTTCTCCCCATACTAGGCTGGTTGTGTGCCTCCTCTGGACAAAAGTGTCATCAGTTTAGCAGAGAGTGCATAGGTCTGCTAAAATGAACCTCAGGGTACACAGACATTTACTGTGCCACCAGAGGCATACAGTTTGTACTCAGAGATTCCCTTTCTTTAGTCCTTTAGCAAAATCCATTCATTTACGTCAGGAGAGGATTTTTTTTTTCTCCAACCAGTAGAAGTGACCTTTTTCCCACCAAAGAACATTCTTAGTGACCCACAAATCATGAATTGCAGCTACTAGATTTGTGTCTCCTCTTCACCTGAATGATGAGCATTGGAGGGGATGTACAAAAAGCGCTTTGTTGAAGCTGAAACCTTGTCTGCTTCCTGAGGGTATATCAGGTGGATTAGGTCGCAGCCTTCTTTCATGGAGGATTGCTGAACGTAATGGGATTAATATCAGCTGAGAGCATGGGACAGTAAATAACAGGACTGGCACCAAAGGCTCTCTTAGACATGTGGGACATATCAGTGTTTCCAGTGAAAGGGAAGCCCAAGGCAAGCATCCTTGACATTTATTTGGGGTGCCAGGCAAAACAGAAGACTGGGGAGGAGAATTTGAGAATGGAATTAGAAAGGAAGTGGAGGTGGTATGGTACATGGAGGGAGCCTGAGAGCACAGAGGCTTCATTTTATGTATGTGTGTGTGTGTATACACACACACACATATGTATGTATGTATGTATGTGTGTGCATATGCATATGTATGTGTATATACATACATATATATATGTATACATATATATATTATTGACAGTTATCTGGGACCCCATGCGTCTCAGTGGTTTTTCCCTTTTTCCAGTCACCCCTTTTGAACTTCAGAGATTTAGCAAAAAGGATTGTTGGGTGTCCCTTGGCCTTAATTCCAACCCATTTGTCTGCTTCAGAAATGTGTAGGGGAAAGTGGGCAGAAGGAGAGAACCTTGTACATGACTGTGCTCCCCAGGCTTGGATTTGGGGAGGTGTTTGTTATGCTCTCCTGCTATGAGCTAGAACTAGGGGAGTAGAGGACTCGTCCTCAGAGCCCTCTTCCCTGTTCTTCGCACGCCGCATTTGGTAATGGTTCCATTTTGGTCTTTGCAGAGTCAGCATGAGGAGCTGAAGAAGCAGCACAGTGACCTAGAGGAGGAACATCGAAAGCAGGGCGATGACTTCAGCCGGACCTTTAGTGACCACAAGCAGAGATACCTCCAGCTTCAGCAAGAGAAGGAGCAGGAGCTGTCCAAGCTAAAGGGTATTTGAAAGTGGAGGAAGAAAAATGCTTCGTTCTTGGCCCTTTAATAACAGTAATAATAGGAACTAGCATGTATACAGTGCTTTACATGCGTATGTCATTTGAGCTTCACAACAGCCCTGTGAAGTAGGTGCTGTTATTCTCATACCCATTTTACAGATGGGGCTGAGTGTTTTGCTGGAGGGTTACAGAGCTGGTGTCAGAAGCAGGATTAGAACTGAGGTCGGTCACCTCTTCTGTGACGCCCTCTCCCCACAACATGTACGGTCCTGAAAGTTGTTCTGTCCCTCTTCATGTCTTTCTTTTGGCCCTAGCATTTCCTCCCATGTATATCTCCTGCTCTTCCTCTTCGTCCTCCTCCCCCTCCTCCCCCTCCTCCTCTTCTTCCTCCTATCTGATTGGCTCTAGGGTTTTACCAGTGTTGGAGTGTCTGGTGAAGAGCCTCTGACGACACAGATGTAGCCATGTTGTACAGCTTAGTGTCTTCTGGGCAGCCTGGCACAGTGGAGAGGGCAGGGCAGTGGAAGCTAGCGCCCCTGGCTTCCCATCTCGTCTGTGCTGCTCCCTCCCTGCCGGGAGGACTCAGATAAGTCAGCTGGCCATTTGGTCTCAGTTCCCCCATCTGTAAACTGAGGGGCTGGACTTGATGACTTTTGGGGTCCCTCCAGGTGCCACATCTGTGACCTTTAGGACACTGAGGGGTAAGGGATGTGCTCATGGTCCCACAGCCAGTATCCTGTGTAAGAGATGGGGGTTTAACCCTGATTGTCCTAACCACAAGGTCACCTCTGTCTAATCCAGCATGATCCTCCCTTGTTTACACTTCTTTACATATTCCCTTTCCCTCTGGCTTTCCTTGTGACTCTGCTTTTTCATTTTTTTTGTTTGTATTGAAGTATCCCTACTACCTAGTTTAGGGCCTAGCACAGTGTGTGTGTGTGTGTGTGTGTGTGTGTGTGTGTGTGTGCACACGTGCACACACATACATATATGTACATACACATACGTGCATCAGCATGTGTTTGTTGTGCGTGTGTATATACATGCATGTATATGTGTGTATGTGTATATGTACATGTGTATGTGTGTGTGTATGTATGTATTTCATTGAATCAAGGGACCTTTTTGTTTATGGCAGCCAGGTTATTTCCTGTGATTTGCCTTCTGGACCTGTCTCTTATTAGATTAGATTGTTGGTGGCCAAGTTCCTATTCCACCTCTCTTCTTGACCTGGTCTTTATCTGTTTCTAAATTCTGTCTTGGTCAAATGTATGTTCAGGGAAGTTATGAAAAGAGAGTTTTACATCAGAAGGGGAGATACAGGTGTGTGAGGAGAATTCCCTGGGGAATCAGTAAGGAGGAAAAACTTGACCTTGCTGCCTGGATAACAGTTAAAAAGGCTGCCCTCTGTCTGTAAAGGTAGAGATGGAGGATCTGATTTAACGAGGGGCAAAGGCAGCATGGGAGTGTAGTTGATAGGAGAGCTGGTCTGGGTTCAGATCCTGCTTCTGATACATCCCTGGCCAAGGCACTTCACTCATCAGTTCTCCAGGCAGCTGTCTCCCAGTGTAAGTTGAGGAGCAGGGTTCCGTCTGCATGGGTAGACAGAATTTCTTCACTGGCTGTCCTCTCTACCTGTGAAATTGCAGGTTAAGTTTAAAAAAAAAATCAGAGTTTGAATAGATTGATGTATATTGAACTGCGTTATTTGCCAAAAAAAAAATGAAAAGGGAAGAAGGCATGAAAATTACTTAAATAATCTGCTCAGAATCAGAATATCTTATATTTTGGAGGGATCTGGAAGGCCATGTGATCAGCCCAGAAATGGACAATAACCTTTATTTCTGCCTCTCACATGAAACTTGTGTTTTGAGGCCAATGAGAATAGATGTAAATGACTGTGAGAGATGGTGGCCCTGTCCTTGGGGGAAAAAAAATGACTGCTTCCTTCAATCTAGAGATCATGTATTTTAGACCTCCAGGCACCCCTCCTTACAGGTGTACCTGTTAATGAAAATGCATCTCCTCGAGCTGAACTGCTTGTCTGTCGGGTATCTCATTTGTAAGGATTTGTTCCATAAAACCAGATTGGTTTGGGTGACCAGCTGGATCGATGCCAGTGTTGTCTTTATGTGGAGAGCAGCACTCCTACGTCCCTGTGGGTGAACTGGAGTGTAATAGTTCTGTAAGGAAACCAGATCGTGAAACAAAATGTCAGGATTTTGTGCTATGTGAGGATGTTATAATAATTTCATGACATTATTCACTGGTGTTTTTTCTCTAAAATAGAAACAGTTTACAATTTGCGAGAAGAGAATAGACAGCTAAGAAAAGCACACCAAGACATGCAGACGCAGCTTCAAGATGTGAAGGTAAGGTCAGTCAAGCCTCAGGTCTCTGGTCCCTGAAGCATCTGCCCCCCCCCCCCGGCCTTTGTAGTAACCCAAGGATCCTCCAGAAGAGGGAAGCCCCTGACGTCATGCCACAGGATGATGGGTTGAAGGAACTGAGGATGTCTTGCCTGCCTTAGGGGATGTGACAGCTTGAAGGACCACCATGGAGAGGAAGAATCCCAGGGTTAGAATGCTCTCTGTCCAACCCCTCAGATGAGGATGAGGAAGGAGCAACCCAGGGGAGTGACGTCCTTGCCTGGTTCTTACGTTGGTCATGGGGGTCAGAAGCAGGGTTTAATCCCTGGTCCTTGGCACCGGGGCCAGAGCCTTCGTCTACTGCCAGTCATTCTGCGTGAGCCCCAGAGGCCAAACGTAGGCACAGTGGTAGAAGTGACAAAGAAGCACATTTAAGTTTGAAAGTTTAAAATTTAAAGACAAAGCTCTTCCTACCACTTTGTGTCCTCGTAGATTTAGGGTTGGAAGGGACCGTAGGGGCTATCAAGGCTGGACCTTTCATTTTCCAGATGCAGACACTGGGCTTGGAGGGGCTAAAGGATTTGCCCCAGGTCACAAGGATGGCCAGTGACCAGGGTGGGAATGGCCTGGTCTTTCTGACTGCAACCCTGTCCCCTACACACTGTGGAGTATCCCAAGTGGAATGAGCTGACTTGGGAAGTCATGGGCTGCCCTCCCCCAAAGGTCTTTGAGCAAAGGCTGGAGGACCATTTGCCCAGGATGTTATAATTGGACCTCTTTTTCGGCTGTGGCTTTGGCTTGGTGATGGGGGGTGGGACAGGAGAGGGAGGGAAGATACGGTAATGAAATCCCTTTTGGCTCTGAGACCTGGGATATACGAAGGCTGGGGGCTGAGCTTTGCCATTGGGTGAGGTCAGTGAAACCAAGCCCAGCTGATTCTTTGGCCACTACTCTAGGGTTTCACCATTGCTTTCTTATTGCTTGAGAGCCCTGGGGAGCTTCTCGTGCTAAGTGGTCGCTTCTGGTTATACAGAAGAAGGATGTGGTAAGAAGGAAATTCAACATCAGGATCAGTGAACATTTTTTTTTTTGCGAGACAATTAGGGTTAAATGACTTGCCCAAAGTCACACAGCTGATAAGTGTTATGTGTCTGAAATCAGATTTGAACTCAGGTCCTCCTGACTCCAGGCCAGTGCTCTCTCTGCTGCGCTGCCTGGCTGCCCTCAGCGTGAACATTCTTGAAATGATGTGGTGACGTTGTTGGATTCAAATCAGTCCTTCTGGTGGGAGAAAGGAAAGAATTGTTCAAGCCTCATGCCCAAGCATCATTCATAGGCTAACAATGGTTGGGTTTCTTTGAAGGGGGTTTAGGACCACTTTGTATAGTACTTTGTGCCTAAAAATTGTTGAGATCTCTGCTGAGCACCACACAGTCAAGGCAGCAGTCATCGATTAAACACCTACTGTGTGCCAGGCACAGTGCTGAGTGCTGGGCATACAAAGATAGGCAAAAGACAGTTGCAGTTCTTCAAGAGCTCCGTCCAGTGGAGGAAACACCACACCAACAATTATGTGCAAATAGACTGGTGATCGCCAACAGAGAGAAGGCCCAGGCATGAAGGGAGTCTGGCAGTGGCTTCTTGTAGAAGCCGGGGCAGACTAAGTTGCGTTCACATCCTGAGGATGGGGGAAAGCTTGTTGTCCTCCGTGCATGTCCATTTAAGAGGGGAAAAAATGTTCTATTTTGTGCAAGCTTGCCTTGCTTTATATAAAAAATGTGTTTCTGGAAATTTCAGCATCAGTGAAATTTATCAGAATTGAATCTTAGCGTATATGGGTTAGGGAAGTATCACTGGCCAGTGTCGGAAGAAATCTAGGCCACGATGTTACTCTTCTTCAAGTGGAACTTGAAGGTACCTTTGGAACTTCACCTGGAAAATGTCCACATGCACTCGGACACATCGTTTAGGTTTGCCAGTGGTCTTGATGTGGTCCTTTGTTTATGGGATTGCATTGTTTTAGCCACCCAGACACAAGCCAGATTTGTTCATGAAAAGTCACAAGATCTCGATTCAGCGTGGGAAAGAACCTTACAGACCATCTAGTCTGAGGGTCTTAGGCTTTCAGGGGTCACGGAGCCCATCTGGTGAAGCCCACAGACCTCTTCTCAGACTCGGGCTTTTAAAAAATTATCATTCATCATTGAAGGAAATGCTGGATTTTGGTTAGAGGTTGGTGAAAGGAAGGGTGTTTTTCTTTTTCCCATCCCAGTTCATTGACCCCTCATAAATCCATCCATCCATCCATCCATCTTCCCATAAGCCCTGGGTTAAGAAGCCTTGATCTATTTTGTAGATAAGATAAGGCAGCCTAGTAAATGATGGATCTGATATTTGAACCCAGACACTCAAATTCCACATTCAGCAGGTGTTCCCAGATGGTTTCTATTGTGATTTTTGATTTCGCATTCTGTAGTCTTACTGCTTGTGTTCAAAACTAAGTCTTAAAACAAGAGTATAGGCCAGTGTAGATTGAACTAGAGAGATTGTTTTTTTCACTTGGGAATTTTTTTGGGGGTAGGGTGGAGAGGTGGGGGGGCTGGAAAGTCAGTTTGCAGAGTTGAATACAATGTTCAGTCCCGTCACTATCAGCTGGAGAAACATGTGCTTTGAGATCTTACAGCTCAACGTGTAAAAATTCTTTCTTTATGTAGCAACAGCATAAGAATTTACTCACCGAGCATGAGCACCTAGTAGTGACTTTGGAAGACCACAAGAGCGCGCTAGCGGCTGCGCAGGTTAGGAGGGTGGCAGCCTCTATGGATGGGTTCTTTTCAAAGGCGGCTTCCCTTTCTGAAATCCTGTATGCATGTAGTCTTTTGCAGTGACTCTCCAGTGAGTCGCAGCTTGGGCCAGCTCAAGGCTGTCCTGATCCTGGAGAATGATGCATGCTTTAAAGGTTTCTAGCTCTCTTCTCTACCCTGCTCCCTCTCTCTCCCCACAGAAGGAATGAAGCTAACCCTGAGGGTGCTGTGGCTATGACTGAATCTGTAGTGAGGATGAGCAGGCTAAACCCATGCCTTGTCTGCATGGGCCAAGACATGGAATTTTCATTAGCTTACCTTTTGAGGTCTGTTACGTTCTAGAGACCTGGGAAATTGCCTACTTTTGAGGGACATTGTTTCTTTTTTCCCCCTACTGTGGAAATGGCTCATAGTCATTAATACTCATACTGATATGTTATTAGATTCAAGGCTTGTACGTTGTTCTGATGTAGTAAATCTATTAACTTTGAAAGCGAGAGCCGAGAGCCGCAGAGACCTCTTCGCTATGAGAAACAAGCTCAAAGTGGTGCCGTTCAGGATTTGAGCAGGGTACTACAGTGAGGGGTGGACCACCACTTCTAGAGAGTCAAGAATTAGAACCATACCTGGATAGAGTGGTTATGTCTGGAGCTCCCCACTTAGCTCAAAAAAGAAGCAGAACATTAGGGGGGAGGGGAGCATCAGCTGAGCTCCTCTGGGAAGGAGGGCGCCGACTAAAGGGGAAGGGGATAGGAATAGCCTTTTAATAAGGAGATGGTGATTGAGTGGGGAGTCTTCCTTTTGCTTTTCGTGCACTTCTTTCAGAAGGTAGATAGGACAAGGAAGAAGCAGGTGTGCTGGAGGGAGCCCCTCAGAAGATAACTGCTGCATGAAGGGTATCTCCTACCCTTCACCCTCGTTCCAGAAGTTATCTGGGTGTGCTGATTTTTTAAAAATTTAAATTAGGTTGACTTTAAGAAAAGGGCTTCTTGTATAGGGAAATCATACAAAGGAGAGTGGGGAATGGGAGGGAGAGGGGCATGCATCATCCAGGCCAATGATGGGGCCTGGTGTAAAACTAAGGCCCACTAAGTCCTGATCCTGTCTTCTCTCTTCTTTATCACTGTACTTCCCTCTTCTTTATCACTGTACTTCCCTCTAACGGAAGGTCCTCATTAAAATCTTGCCTACACATCCTATCACTTTTGCCTTTTCACATCCTTACCCCAAAACTTTTATTTCTTTCAGTTCAATTCAGTATTTGATAAACACCTACTGTGTTGCAGATACCGTACTAAATGCTGAGTATACAGAGACAAAAATGAAATAGTCCCTGCCCTCAAAGTCTATTGGGGTTATAGAAATTCAACACGTAGTAATGATGGGGGCAGGGAGGGGGGTGGAATAGGGAGGTGGTGCAAAGAGCTAACCACTAGGGGAATTAGGAGTGTTCTTGGGGAACCTTATCCCAGCCTCCAGTGGCTTTGGAGAGGCAGAGGCAAGGAAAGAAAACATTTCAGGCATGGGTGACACCCTGAGCCAAGGCAAATAGGCCGGATATGGGAATGTTATCGGAGTAACAAGGATCCTGGGGGTTGGGGTGGGCAGGAATAATGTGCAATCAGCTTGGTTGGTCAACAAGCATTTATTAAGCACTTACTGTGTGCCAGGCAGAAAGGCAAAACCAGTCCCTGCCCTCAGGGCGCTTATGTTCTGACAGGAGGTACAGTGCTGTTATGTGCATATGAAACATGCAGAGTAGATAGGTGATCTGAAAGGAGAAGGTATGAATAGTCTACAGACATAGGTTAGAGTCTGTTTGTGAGTGCCTTTAAATGTCAAGAGTATAGTTTGTATTTTATCCTAAAGGAAATAAGAACTCCAGAAACCTTATAAGAAGGAGAGTGTCATGGTCAGACCTGAGCTTTGAGAAGATTGTTTGGGCCCCTGGGTAGAAGCTGTATTGGTGTGGTGAGAGATTGGGGGAAGAGAGACTTAGGGGAAGCCGATTGCTTTAGTCCAGGGATGAGGCAGTAGGCCTGAAATGGGAGAAAAGGCAGTAGACATTGTGGAGGCAAAGTTGACGGAATTGGACAACCGATTGGACATGAAGAGCAAAGCTTACAAAACTGAGAGACTGGAAGGTTGGCCTATTGTTTGACAGAAATTTGAAAGTCAGGATACAGTGTGTGTCGGGAGGGGACAGTCATGAATTGTCTTGGACATGATGAGTTTGAAATGCTGACACAGCATTCAGGTGGGGGTGTCCAGCAGGCGGCTGGTAATGGGGGCCAGAGCTCAGGAGAGAGACCAGGGCTGGCTTGGTAGATTTGAGGAGTCATTGAAATAGAGTGATAGAATAATTAAAGTCATGGCAGGGAAGCATAGAAAAGAAGAGGGGTGGAATGTGGATGGTGTTCTAGTTTAAGAAAGTGAGAAGAGGCAGTTGGGCAGATAGGGAGAGAACCAGGAGAAAGAAGTGTCACATAAACCCAGGAGAGGATTTCTAGGAGAATGTAGCCTGAGGAAACTCTTTGCATTTAGCAATGAAGAGATGATGAATTACCTCAGAGTGGCTTAATTCGGAAGCCAGAATGCAAGGGGCTGAGCAGTGAGTGGGATGTGAAGAAAGTGGAAGCAGTGAGTGTAGACAGCTTTTTCTAGGAGTCTGGCTGTAAAAGGGAAAAGGAGGGGGAGTCACTTGAGGGCATGTTAAGGTCAAGAAGAGCAGAGGTTCTGGCCTAGTTTGCAGACAGCAGGGTAGGAGCCAGTGGTTAAAGAGGGGTTGAAGTTTAAAAGAGAGGAGATGATGCAAAGGGCATCCTCCAAGAATAGTTGGAAGGAAGGGAACTAATTAGGGCACACGTATAATTGAGAGTCACTCAGAAACAGTAAAAGAATTAGTGAGCCCAGTGAGAGAAAAGCAGAGAAAGCTTTCAGGGTCCTGGGGCCAAAATTCATTGTCTCCTTTTGCCTGTGTTCACAGCTGTGTCTCATGACTTTTCCACCTCCTTTCAGCACAAGTTGACTTGATGTCACAAAATGTATTCACGTTTTAAAATACTTGATTGCTTTCAGTTGAGGAAAAGACCGTAATGGGTAATGGAAATGGATCAGCATTTGGCTAAGCATATTTTCAGTAGATTGTTATGTAGTAGTGTAAGAATTATACAGCTGGCTCATTTATAAAAGTGGCATTTATTAGAAAGTAGAGGAAATAATAAGAATTCTGACTCCTTTTGTATGTAGCTTGGGAAATTAACATCTGTCTTCAATAATTTTTCCATGTTTTCCTTAGAGCTCTAATTTCTAATTTGCATGTACTCTATAATGGTGAAGCATGTCAAAATAAGACTGTCTAATGCATGGAAATCATCTGCATATTTTGCTAAACTGGAGTCTAGTTGTGCTATGTATGTGATGCCAAGAACTCATATTCATAGTAAGCTGCCTGTGAATGACATGTTTTTCCTCCTCTCAAATTCTACAATTTGCATCCAGACCCAAGTGGCTGAATATAAACAGCTGAAGGATACGCTTAATAAGATTCCGAGCTTCCGAAAGCCCGATAGGGTGGAAGAACAAAATGTCATCCAGGCAGCACCTTCCCGCCAAGGCGCTTTCATTGCCAAAGAGAGGAAAATCACTGAGGAGCCAAAGGAGGTAATAACATGAGCCCTTCCAAAATTCTCTCTTTTCAATTACCAAACTTTTATTATCTCTCTCTTATATCCTCTCCTTTCTCCCTCCCCCCATTAAAAAAAGAAGAAAAACCTAACCCTTGTAACACATAATCATAATGAAATAAAACAAGTTCCCACATTGATCATATCCAAAACTGTATGTGTCGTTCTGCATCTCGTGTCTGAGCCCTGTGTCAGGAGGTAAGTAACAGCCTTCATCACTCTCCTATCCTGCTTGGTCATGCACTGGTCTTAATTCTTAACAGTGTTGTTGGTTTTTGTATAAATTGTTCTCCCCAACAGAGAATGCTTAATGTGGGGATTTTTGTTCGAACTCTGGCCAGTCAAGTTGCCATCCAAGTGAGTTGATCAGTCTTGCCAAGTTTGCCCATTATCTCCAATCCAACAAGCATTTATTATGTGCCCTAGAATGTTCAAAGACTGGGGCTGCAAAGGCAAAATACAAGAATGCTCTCTCAGAATCTTCAGTCTTTATCCATTGAATTTACCTCTGTTCCTCTCAATTTGTGTGGCTGAGAACCCTTGCCATGATTAAACGTTACTGACAGTGTAATTAAATGGTGCACAAGAACAATCCAGGTGGTCTTTGAACTGATCCTCCATGTCTATACTTTTATTTCTTGGGATGCATTTATTTATGGTAGCCATTACTGATGTCTGTCCTTTTGACTTTAACAGTCTTGTTTGGGTGGTTATGTATCAACCAGTCAAGAATATTCATTAAGGACTAATCTGAATAAAATTAAAATTAATTAATTAATCCTGTAATGATGGAGTGGACAGCGTGCTAGGCCTGGAGTCAGGTTTGAGTCCTGCCTTGGACACTTAGTAGCTTTGTGACCCTGGGGCAAGTTACTGTCTCTGCCTCCCATTTGCTTCCTGTAAAATGAGAGGATTTGCCTTCATGGCCTCTGAGTTACCTTTCACTCTGATCTATGATCCCATGATATTATATGCAGCCACTGTGCTAGTTTCAAGGGATAAAAAACAAAAATGAAACCCTAGTTGCCTTCAAGGAGTCTCCATTATATCAGAATGAGTGAGCTGGGGTTGTCTATAGCCTGCCCCCAAAGGGCAAGATTGGCCTCAGAGCTCAGTCTGTGTTCTGGATAATCGATTCCCTTGGGAATACACCTTTCTGTGCACTAGCAGTAAACACAGAGTTGTCTTCTAGCAGAATAGCTCACTTCATCCCAATTGTTCCTGTCTGGGCCTCTCTGTCTTTCTGTCATCTCCCCCCCCCCCCCCCCCCGCGCTTGTTTAAGGTGTCCCAGTTCAGTAAATAGAGACAAAGCAGGTGTCAGGAGGCTGGCCCGCTTGCCATTTAACCTGAGTTCCTTAACCACCCCGTTCTGTAGAGTAGAGATAGTGTTATCTGTTCAGACCCACTTCACAGGATTTTCTGAAGATAAATGAGATATTTGGGAAAGCCCTCAGGGCTCAGAGAAAGAAAAGACTCCATCCATCCAGGGTATTCTGGTGTCAGAGCTAGACCAGGTGTGAAGAGGACCAAAAACCTGTATCTTCTACAAGTTTGTCTCGCTCCCTTCTTCTTGGGAAACTATCAAAATGCCTCCCTCACACATTTGTCTGCTTTCACAAATGTGATTAAATCTTGTTCATTTAAAACTCAGTAGATTCAAGAGAAAATTGGCTTTAAATTGGAGGAGTTGAAATTCCCTTTAATAACCAGAGAGCAAAGCACATGATCAAGCTGTTCCCACATGGGAAAGGATGTGCAAAGTCTGATAACTTGGCAGGAGGGGAGGGTGTGATGGGGAAAGTGATGAGAAATTTTTTAGTTCGTTTTTTTTTTCTCTTTTTTTCCTCCCTTTTGATAAAGGATCTCAGTTTCACTTCTGTCTGCTTCAAATGAAACCATTCCTGAAGGAATGGAACCATGGGGACCACATTTCCACTTCAAATTCCACATTTCCTAAACTTTTTCAGATTGAAAGTATGCATTATTCTGGAAAATCTCTAGCTAATTGGCAATAGCTAACAAATGCTACAGACAGAAGGACGCTGTGCTTTGAAATCACTGACATTGAATTGATATTTCAGTGTTTTCATGTATTATTTTTATTAGCCACTATTTTTAAGCAGCTGGGGTGGTCTGATTTCATACTTGAAATCATTGCTAATACTGTTATTTCTTGAAGTCAAAGCATTAGATGAGAATCAGTTTATTTTCCATTTCATTTTTATTATTTTCTTTAACATGGATTATTTGAGAATCAAAATGGATTGAATAAAAAAGACAGAAAAGGACTTCTCAGTTTTCAAAGGTGGCTGTTTTGTTTTTATTTGAAGAGGAAGAGAGTGAAGAAATAGTTGCTTTGCAAAATAAAGTAGGAGTCGCCATATTATGTAGGGCATTTGGACGTTATCTATCACCTGTTTCTGTCATCAGTTTCATGTGGTTTTCTGAAGGTGGCATTTTATCTACAAAGCATCACCGTTTTGCATATGAGGATGTTAACCAGGATTACGGGCTGATAGATTTAGAGCTGGAAGAGATCGTTAAATGTAAGGTCTTCATTTTACAGATCAAAAACAACAACCCTAAACGAATGTCTGAGGCCTGAGAATGTTGAGTGATTTGTCTAAGGTACACCGTTAGTAAGTAGCAGTAGACGGAGTTGAGCACTGGCGTGCCATAGTCTACGAGCCACGTTCCGACTTCCTTGAAGTTTCATGGTAGGACCATGGGACAGATGTCTTGTCTGTCTCCAGGAACGCCTCTCCATTTGATGGGGTAACCATGAAGACGGTGGTGTTTGCCATAGTATGTCCCTATGAAATCAGCATGGTTTTCTCACATCCTCTTTGGCCTAGGGTCCCCACAGTAACGAAAAATGGCAGGACCAGGAGCAGGCCGTTGGGAAGAGGACAGCAGAGACCAAATCCTTGCATCCCACCCCAAGAGAGGTGGAGTTCCACGCTGGAGACACACCAAGCCAGCGAGAGGAGGAGGAGCCCAGGAGAAGAGAGGAGGAGGCGGGGCAGGTGGAAGAGGAGAGCAAGAGGGAGCTCGAGGAGGAGGCGATGGAGCAGGTGGGGCAGGCTGAGCACCTGGTGGAAGAGCAGGATCAGGCTGCCGAAGAGCAGGAGCAGGCGTGGAAGGAGCCGCAGGAGCAGAGAGAAGAGGAAACCAACTCGCTGACAGAGCATGCTCATCCAGAGGTAGGGGCCTCCCTGTTCTCGGCCGTCTGGGGAGAGGCAATGTGGGGAGCGGTGGGAGCCAAGAAACCCGGGTCCAGGGCCAGCTTCTGCCGCATCCTGGCTGTGGGACCCCAGCCAAGTCATTTCCCACTCTGGGTAGCGCTTTCTCTTGCAGTTTTGCATTGATGTTGGGCTGTTCTATAGAAATCTGCCCACAGAGAAGGAGGGAGCTGGAGTAAGTTGCCCTGAAAGCGTTGGATGTATTCGGAAGCTTAGTTTTATGTTTAAAGACTCAGAAATAATCCCCCTTGCCAGTAAATACTTTTCAGTGTTGGTGCTGTGTGTCATGTTGTCCTGCTTAAGGCAGTTCATCGAATCGTGTTTAGAGCTGAAGGTGACCCGAGGTGACTCTTATTTTACAGATGGGGGAACTGAGGTTAAATGACTTGCCCAGGATCACACAACTAATAAGCATCCGAAGGCAGACTCCCAGTCCAGCACTCTATCTACTGTGCCACCTAGCTGCATTGGGGTGTTAGTAACAAATATAGAATGGATGATATTTAGCATGTGGGGAGGAGGCGGGTGCTGTTGGTAGGTGGGAGGTGTTTTTATGCCTCTCTTACCGTCATGGGATTTAGGGATGGTGGTGGGTCTTCATTTGGTCAGTTGTTTCCCAGCTCTTTGTGACCCCATGGATCATAGCACGCCAGGTTCTTCTAGCCCAGCATCTCCCAAACTCAATCTAAATTCATGTTCGTTGTTTCCATGACACTTTCTATCCACCCCATCCTCTGCCATACCCATCTCCTTTTGCCTTCAATCTTTCCCAACATCAGAGTCTTTTCCAATGTGTAGAAGTAGGAAGGAACTCAGATATTAACTAGCCTCATTCTAAAGATTTGGAAACTGAGGCTCAAAGCCACAGTAGCTTCTGGCTTCTGAACAAGCATGTGTAAGCACCAGCTCCATGCCAGGCACGACAGGGCTCAGGGCTCAGGGCTCCATTCTGGGGCCAGCCGTTGCCTTTAGCTGGCCAGGGTCACCAACATGTGCCTAGACAGGCAGATACATTGGGAGGGAAGCATTGACAGCTGGGGGGATCCCCGAAGGCTTCATGAATGGGGTGCTGCAGGTGGAGCTCCCTAAGGGAGGAGGTATGGAAGGAGTGCATCCCAGCCATGGAAGACAGTCAGTGCAAAGGCAAGAATCAGTCCACTTTGCATTAAACATGTAAATCTACCCTTTTATCCCTTCGAGGGAACATGGCAAAGGCTACTTGCATTTTATGGATGAGGAAATTAAATCTCTCTGTGCCTTAGTGATATACTCAAGCAATTAAATAGTACCTAGATCTTCTTAGCCACTTAATTCTCCTCTGGTTGCTCCAGCATTCACAAGCTATCAATGCCCTGCCTCTTGTTAGGAAGTTAGTCTGCATATACTCATACAGTACTGTGATATAGCTTGGTTCCCCCCCTCCCCACCCCACCACCAACAACAAAAATCACCATTTAAAATGTGGTAGAACTTTTCTTTTCTCTCAGTAACATTTGCTGTCTGTTTATCTGTCTGTCTGTCTGTCTGTCTGTCTATCTATCTATCTGTCTGTCTGTGTATCTATGTATTTATCTGTCTATCTATCTGTCTGTCTGTCTATCTGTCTGTCTGTCTGTCTGTCTATCTATCTATGTATTTATCTGTCTATCTATCTATCTGTCTGTCTGTCTGTCTGTCTGTCTATCTATCTATCTATCTGTCTGTCTGTCTATCTATCTATGTATCTAGCTAGCTAGCTAGCTGTGAGCTGGTGCTGCTGTTTTGCTTTGCCACCACCAGGTGGGGAGCCCTGGCATCCAGCTTGAATCAAGAGATGCAACCTACATGGGCATTTGCCCAAGACCCATGGGTGGCAGCTTATTGATACCTCCAATTTCAGTTTACAGGATTAAATGGTTCACTAGTTTCTTTAATAAAAAATATAACTATGAAAACAACTGAACTTAAATGGTGGCTGTTCAGTTTTTAAAAGGTGCTATTTTATAAGAACTTTTAAGTTAACCTTTCTCACCACCCCTTAATGATTACCAGTCCCCTGTTCTCACTTACAGACTTATCTATCACAGTGGTGTGCAAACCATTCTGGGCCTTGTGTGCAATTCAGACACGTTAAGTTAGCACGCAGACCACAGCTGATAACCAAGCTAAATAGAGCCAAAATATGGCTCAGGGGAGAGGGATTCTAGACCTTTGTAACCTTAGCATTGAAAATCACTGTCTGTCCTTTCTCATCTGTAACACGGGTATGTCTAAGACTTGATTCTTCCTCACAAGAATGCTCATCTGGATTGAGGGGTTAAGCCCCTTGGAGCCCCTTCCCTCTGCTGCTATTTGTGGCATTAATTTGGGAAAGAGAACCCTTCTTAAAAAATAAAAAAGTTCACAGATGTCCTCACATAAATGTAATTGAACTCTGAGGACCCATTGTTTGAGAGATTAAATGCTCACAAAAAGCTGCTATGAATGACTTCAATAAAACTTTTTAGTGGATTTCTATTATGTTCATGAAAATAGATTCTATATATACATGAAAAATAGTGATACCCATGTATGTGACATACTTGCATTTACCAAAGTGATATTTGTTTAGTTGTAGATTTGTAAGCCCCTGGAAATAACTCCATATCCCTCTGGGGTTCATGACCCACAGTGTGGGCCTGTAAGCCCCCTAGCTTTGGAGGATCTTGGCTGTGGCTGTCTTCCTTCAAAGAGTACTTCAGGAGTAATTTCTTAGGATTTTTCATCGTTCTGCCATTTCAGGTCTTCCTCCTCTTGCCTCTGCTGAGAGACATGAGAAATGGCTTTAAAGTGGTGTGCTATGATGATTCTTCTGTGTGTTGTTTTCTCTAAATAGAAGAAGGTAATTTCTCCATCCCTATTTTTTTTAAAAAAAAGAAGATTGCCTTTCTTTCTCTCTCCCCTCCTTCTAAGGCATAACTGCTAGTTGACTTTTTTTTAGCGGGTTATGCCCTAATTTTTACAGCCAGTAATAGAGTTAACTAGCATCCCCTAGTACACAGCCGCCTTGAGGCGCAACAATAGCTTCAGCTCACAAACTTTTTATTTTTTTTTTCTTTTTAATGAGATTTTAAACTCCACACATCCTTTTGAAGTAAATGGAACTGCCATTAAAAATTGTCAAGTGGAAAAGTTCGAGCCAAATTCTGAAAATAAGACTCAGTTGACAGATGAGAATAATTTTGCCCAAGAATAGTTCTGGAGACAGAACTCTTCTCCATCATGATCTTAGTTTAACATGTAAAATTCCTCTATTTCCTTACGTATCAAATGGCTATTGATAACGCCAGCCTTGACTTTCCCTGCCCACACAGAGTTGCTCTGAGGATTGAATCAAATGCAGGCATGCCTTACCAAATATCATTCAGCATTTCTGAAATAATTTAAAAAATTGCCAGTCAATCAGGGTCAGTTAGGAACTATGTTTATGTAGAAGCATTATGCAGTATGAAGTCATCTGAAATCCATCTGAGTTTCTAACGCTAGCTTGACTTGTCACCGTCTTGATTGGCTGATTGCCATCTTGGTCTTTCGCCTGGGTATTAGGAGTTTATAAATAATGAATTAATGGTGTTTTCGTGAAACTGCCGGGGCTGTCTTATTGGGGGTTACACCTGCCATAGAGAGTAAGACAGAAAAGTACCAAGAATCACATTAACATCAAGGGGCCTCACATCCAGATAACCTTGTGTCTTTTGTAGGCGCGTCCTTCAGAAAAGGCTGTGACGAAGGCCAAATCGGCTTACGAGGAGCAGCTAGAACAGCAGCGGCTGGCGGCCAGGCGGGCCGAAGAGGCCCAGCAGCTCAGAGAACGGCAGGAGGCTTTGCATAAGCAGAGGCTGCAGGAGCACTTGCTGAGGCAGCAGCGACTTCAAGACAGAGAACTGGCCTTGCAGCGGCAGGCTGCGCACGAGGACGAGCAGCGCCGTCAAAAGCGCCTGCGGTGGGTGTTCCTGGGCGGGGAGCAGGGAGGGATGCGGTGGAGCGTCAGTGTGTGCCTCCTGCCCATCCAGTCAGGAGACTGGGGATGCTTAGCATGTGGTGGAGGTAGAAGCAATGGATTTAAAAACGAAATGCCAGCTTCCTAAATCTTTTTTCACCAGTACATCGTTTTACCTTTTTATTTTTAAAAGAAAGCACTTAGGATGGCATAGAGGAGGAGATGGGCTTGGAGTCAGTAACCCCTGAGTTCAGATCGCACTGTGGTCATTTCATGTCTCTGTGCCTCAGGGCAGCACCTGAGGAATCGGCTCCTGTGACCTAGGTGGGTTATAATCCACATTCGTGCAGGAAGATCTCACACTGGGTTCTCCACATGCTGATGAAATCCCCGTTCCTTTGCATGTTTTTAAACGAGGGAGCCGTAGACAGACAAAAATGCCTCCATCTTGATGGTCTCCATCAGAGCCATGTTTAAATGTTTCTACTCTTTTTTTCTTTTTACATTGCTGTTATTTCCCAGTATCCCGCTATGGCCACCAATAGAACCCTCCTTTGTAGCAAAGTACAAAACCAATGGATGCATGGACCATAACTGATGGTTCATGCCTCAATGTATGCTTGCAATTTACCCCCAACCCTGAGAAAGAAGCAGTTCTGCTTCCTTACTCCTCTGATGTCAAGACTGGCCATTGTAGGGATCTGAGATCTAATCAGAATCATATTTTAAAAGATTGCACCTTAGAACTTTTTAAATTTTCTGGCAGGCGTCATGATAGCCAAGTAACATTGGTTAGCCTTTCCTTCTGATTTTCCACATTTCTTTGTTATGGAATAGCTTCTTCTAGATATGCCCTGGCCTGGGGGAAACTGAGTTTGTCAGACCCCAATACATGAGGTTTGTCTGGTTTCATTTATTTGCTTTTTATACATGTTGACAAACCTCGTTTAAGGCTTGTCTGCTTTGAAAAATAGCCTGTGTCAAATTCGTCTGAGTTTTCTGTTGAAGTTACTGAAAAATGTGTTCTTGTCTTCCTCCCAGGCAGCAAACACGTTATGATGCTATGGATAACGATATCGTCCAAGGAGCAGAGGAGCAGGGGATCCAAGAGGAAGAAGGGGGCGGTGAGGACTCATAGACGGCTCATCTCTTGTTGCATCATCCTGCCAAAAGGCTGGATGGGTGTAGGACTGTACCCTAGAGAGACATTAATCATTCAGTCATATTTAATGGGTCTATCTATGTATGTTAATGTGTATGTGTATGTATGTACATCTATATCTGTATGTACTTATGTATATTTCTCCAATAGACATTAACAGCCACAGTCATTCAGAAAGATCTATTTCTTCTCTTCCTTTACCAGTATTAGGTTATTCTCTATATGAATCATTTATGGCAAGTTTTACTAAAAGAAATTTGTACTCCTAGAGAATCTGCATGCGCGTTTCTAGGTGGGCTTTCTCCGGTTGGATCTCTGAAAAAAATAGAACTAAGTCGTTAGTGGCATTCATTTATAATTATTGGCTAGATGGCGTTCTGAGTTCCACATTTCCTTGGGGTGACCTTAGAGACAGGCTGTCAGCCCTTCTGCTGCTTAGTCTTCGGGCAGTGCTAATGTAGCTGTGTAACCTAATCTCCTGGGCCTTGACAGGAAGTGGGCATGTGGTGCCTCACTGATTTATTTGGATGTTTGAGAATTTGTTATTTACACTCAAGAAATTATTTTACTTGTGGTCCTCCTCTGGCAGTACTCTAAGTGCCTTTGTTCTTGAATCATTGGGAATAAGAGAGAGTGGATTACCATCCTCTCATCAAGCCATCATTTCATATACTTTGAAGGCTGATGTTATCCCATAGTTCACTGTTCCTCAAACTAGCTAATCCCCAGAAGTCTTAATCTTCTTCTGTCTTTTCTTTATATTCGATAACCCTGAGATCTAGGAGAAACCTACTTCAATCTCTTTTTATACCATAAGTTGCCAGCATCTTTATGATTGCATCGTAGAACGTGTTCAGGTGTAGAAGCTGGTCCCTAAACTCCTAAAATGGGTTTAATCTTTGACTTTTGTGAGATATTTTTAGCTTTCTTGGTTCCTTGGTATTTCTTTTGATAGGATCAAGGATAAACTGTTAATTTTGCCAATTTCATTAATTTCCACTTTTAAATGTAAATTTTGTTCATTTTGGCCTTCTGGGGAGAAGAATTTGGATTGAAAATTAAGTCTTTTCTCATGTGCTTTTATTCAAAGAAGGAAGATAGATGAATTCTCTCTTTCTTCTTCCATCTCTTTCTCTCTCTCCCTCCCTCCACTTTTTTTCCTTCTTTCTTTCTTTCCCTTCTCCTCTTTCTCTGTGCCCTGCCTTTGTCTGTTTCTCAATCAATCTCTCTCTCTCTCTCTCTCTCTCTCTCTCTCTCTCTCTCTCTCTCTCTCTCTCCCCCCCCCCCCCCCCCTCTCTCTCTCTCTCTCTCTCTCTCTCTCTCTCCCTCCCTCCCTCTCTTTATCTCTCTCTCTCTCTTTTCCCCTCTTTCTCTTTCTCCATTTCCCGTACCACCAAGCCTGGAAAATATTCTAGACAGAGCAGGAGCTGGACAGGAGGAGACCATTGTTATTTGTGATCCCATAAACTTGATGGAAAGCTATTACAGGAAGCTGGTTGCTACCATTCCAGAGGGAATTTCACAAGAGAAAATTAGGCTGACTGTGTTTTGGAAGTCTCATAATTTGTTTGATTTTCTAGCCTATGAAAGAGACAACCAGCATCAAGATGAAACTGAAGATGATACACATAGAGAGAATGAGCCCCGAGGACAAGTACAACAGGCAGATAACCCTCAACGTGATGTGAGTGCCCTCTTTGTACATTTCTGTGCAGGAGACAGAGCTCCTACTGTGTGCCAGGCATTGTACTTGACAAATATTACCTCATTTAATCCTTCCAACAACCTTGCAACGTAGGTGCTGTTATTATCCCCATGTTTGCAGTTAAGGAAACTGAGGCAGGTAAATGACTTGCCTGAAGTCACACAACTAGGGATTTTCTGAGGCTGGATTTGAACTCACGTCTTCCTGCCTCCAAGCCTGGCCCCCTTATCCACTGCATAGCCCAGTTGCCTAGCTGATGAGATTCAAAGTGTGACCATCCCTTTGGGTGACTCAAGATGGTCATAGATCTAGAGAAGGACAGGGTCTCAGAGGCTATATTTAGTCCAACTCTCTCATGTTAGAGGAGGAAACTTGACCCCCAAGGCTAAAATGGCTTGCCCAAGGTCACACAGTTAGTAGAGCTAGGATGTGAACCCAGGATTTCTGATGCCTCATCTGTCTTTCTTTCCACTGTTCCATGTTTCCCATCAAAGAAGGGAGACCCTGTAGGTAAGATTCATCATGCAAAGTGTAATCCCCTTCCTTCATCTCTGTGTGCAGTGGACTGGGTGCTTGATATGTGTGTGTGGAACAGTTTAATTCCCTTGAGAAATTATCCATTTACTTTGTTTTAGACGAGCAAGGGGTGTTTGAGATTGTTTGAGGCCATCCCTCTCTTTTTACAAATTGGGAAATGGAGTCTCCCAAGATATTCAGCGACTTGCCTTAGGTCACATGAGGAACAAGAAGCCCCAGATTCCCAGGCTACCCATGGCAGCCCAGTTCCTCTTGCCGTTGACTCTGCTGCCTGACTGGCCTTTCCTCCCATTAGTAATCATTAGCGCCTTGGTCTTGTCCCTTCTGGCCATTCTATTTTAACGCTCATCTTGGTGTAGGTTAAACCCTGCTCATGAGGCCATTTTGTTTCTCTCCAGGGCATGATCCCTGCTTGTTTAAATAGAATGTGGCTTGGTGAAACACCCTTTTGTCACTTTGCTGTGGCTTGGGACAGTTTTCCCACCCAAGAATCCCATCCTATCCTACTCTGTAACTCTTCTGTATTGACTTAAAGGTGATTGCTTGTTACTCATGCTAAAGTAAGGTAGTTCCTTTGTATTTTGGAGAGTGCTTTGAGATGCTTTTGCAGAGTAGTAGCTGTATAAAAGGCAGCTAGGTGGCTCAGCAGATAAAGCACTGGGCCCAGTGGCGAGGAAACCTGAGTTCAGATTCAGCCTCAGATACTTACTAGCCATGTGACCTTGGGCAAGTCACTTAACCTTTGTTTGCTTTAATCCTCTGGAGAAGGAAATGGCAAAACACTCTCATGTCTTTGCTAAGAAAACCCCGTGGACAGCATTGCCGCGCCGTGGTCCACAGGGTCACAAAGAACTGGACGTGACTGCAGAGCAAGCTATATAAAACAAATGAAATCAGTCAGATATTGTTTCCTCCTCATCCTCATTTATCTGCATTTGGGAAGTGAAGCGGGGAGTTAAGCTCTCCAGGCAGCTAGAGCTCTGTGATACACGTTTAAGTTAAATTCATGCTGGTTAGGGCAAAGTTGTACTGCCAGAGCGGCCGTACTTAAAAAATGTGGTTTCTCAATTGTAATCCCTTTTTAAAATGTTGCCTTGATGTCTTTCTTTTGAATGATAGCAAGCAGCTGGTGAGGACGTAAATCCTGCCGATGACCCAAACAATCAAGGAGAGGACGAATTTGAGGAAGCAGAGCAAGTAAGGGAAGAGGCCTTGCCTGAGGAGAATGAGGTGCCCAAGCAGAGCAGTCAGAAGCGAGGGAACGCCGAGATGGAGGAGCATTTGGTGGTGAGGAGCTCCCAGAGGCTGGGCCTTGTTGGAATCTGCACATAGCAGTGGATAACTGGCCTGGGCCAAAGAGGGCGGAGTAAACCACACAGACAGAAGGGCCCCTGACTTGTTTGCAATATTCACTTAGCCGCCTGGGGACCATGAGAGAGACTGGCATTCTGTGCTTCTTATTATGAACTATTGTTCATCATTTCATGGCCATTGAGCCATTGAAAGTGCTCTCTCCTAGGGCTGGAGGGCTCGGCTTGAGGTCCCGCAGTACTAAAGGACGCATCTGAAATGGCCAGTTGCACTAGCCCCTCCGTGTTGTTTCAACAGATGGCAGGAAATCCAGACCAGCAGGAAGATAATGTCGATGAGCAGTACCAGGAAGAAGGCGAAGAGGAGGTAGGAACGTTCCAGGCCAGGTCGGGGTCAAAGGATTGAGTTTATGAGGATGGCAGGGTCCGACTGAGCCAAAAAGCAGTGGACATATCTGTAGAGATTGTGGGTGTATCCTAAGGGACGGGCAAGAAAACCACGAACAACCCAGATAGTGTGCAGACGTACAATGGTGTCGGCTCCCATTTCTGCAGCAAGGCACAGAGGACAGAGAGCTGGCCAGAAGGACCCAGGTTCGAGTCCTGCCTCTGACCTTGTGACATACTGACTTTGTAGACTTAGCCTCTCTATGCTCTAGGCAACTCTCTGAGACTCTTAAGTTAGAGAGAACAAATGAATGGGTGAATAAAGGGAAGAAGGGATGGAAAAGTGTTAAGTGCTTGTTAATAGAGAAAAATGAATAGTCCCTGCTCTCAAGGAGCTCAGCCTTTTGATTGGGAGAGAGAACACATAAAAGAGAGGGCAGATGGTACTGATCTGCTTCCGGAAGAGAAGGTTCCTCTCCCAATGGAATTCCAGATCCAGCCCCCATCCCTGAGCCTTGGAAATCAAATGAGAGAGTGAAGACACCTGGGAAAGTTTAGGAGACAGGGCCATCTAGCCATCCACAAGTAGTGAGGGCTAGCGAATGCTCTAATTCAGAAAGACATGTCTAAACCCTGCCCTGACACTTACTAGCTATAACTAGTAAGTTGTAGTCTCACACCTCATCTATAAAATGAGAATAATCTACACGGTACCCACCTGATAGGATTGGTATGAGAGCCAGAAAGGGCAGGGCTTGGATCCCAGCTCTCAGACTTCCTGTCTCCGTGGCCGTGGGCACTGCCCAGGGTTTTACTGGGGCTTTGATGAAACTGAGATTTATAAAGCCCATTGCAAACTTTGAAGTGTGAAAGATAGATATGTGTAAAATATAACAGATTGCATTATATATTACCCCATTTAGGGATAACACTGTCATTAAACTGTCATTAAACTATTCTTTAGTGGAACCATGGGGGACAAAGTGTCTTCAGTCACAAACTGTGTGGTCTCTGTCAGCCAGAAGTTGACAATATTAGCTATTTTATCCAAATGGAAAAAAAAGAAGGAATTTCATTGCATCATATTATAATAATATGTGTGATTAGAGGTCTTGATGAAGAGAGTGTGTGTCTGTGTCCCTTCCCAAGACAATAAAATAAAGAGAAAAAAAGAAAAGAAAAAAAGAAAATGCAGATCTAGTTTAGCAAGATGGGGGTCTTCAACAGTCCTAGTCACTTCTACCTTTATGAAACATAGCTAGTGACATTTTTGAGTCCCTCTCCTTTCTGTTGCACATCTCCTCTCCTCACTCACAAGAATTCCTTGACACAAGTGAATTTGTGTGTAGATATGTGTATGTATATATCTATGTGCATGTATATACCCAGAGAGAAAACAAATAGGAGTAGAAGATCTGGGTTGTCCACATCCTGCCTGGGGAAGAGCCAGTGAAAATGCACAGAATGAACAGATGGCAGATTGTGTTTGCAGCTCAGCAAGCAGGCCACTGTCACTGGATTGCAGAGTAGGGTGGTGGTGGGGGAGAGGAGAGTGGAGAGCATGATGTAGGATGACTGACAGTGTGGGGAGGGGGACAGATTATGAAGGACTTCTGGAACCAAGCAGTGGGTTTTGGATTCAATCGTGGAGGCAATAGGGAGCCACTGAAGTTTTCTGAGTAGGGAGGTGACATGGTCAGACCTGGAGATTAGTGTGCCAGCTGAATGAAAGATGGACCGGAGTGGGAGAGACTTGACGTAATGAGAGCACTCTTGCACTTGTCCCGGTGTGAGGTGATGAGGGCCTGCACCAGGGCAGGGGCACTATGGGAAGAGAGGAGAGGGTCACACAAGGTTATTCACACACTAGTATGAAGGAGCGGCAGTCAGGGGGTTGGGCCCAGGTGTTCCCCACCAGCCCATCTATTCATCACTGTCTTTTCTTCCGTCGTACACCCTCCCAATTCTGCCTTTTCTAATCTTTCTCCTGACCTCTCAATTTCCCTGTTGGTTTGCCATTTTGAAATTTTATTAAAAAAATTTCAGTCATTCCATTTCTTGTCTTTTAAAAATCTTTAAGGAGCCTGTTATCAATGCCTTTCATCTAAGGCGCAGGCTCAGGGTAGTCAGATTTTCTTTGAGTAACCATATGCTAACTTGTACTAGATTTTTTTTAAGCGATTGTGAACTTTGGTCTGCTCGACTAACATCTCCCTTGGCATCTCAGTGTGGCACAGAGGACATCCTGGCTTCTTTATGTCCAGTCCAGGGAAGCACGAGTTCTTTTTTTTTGGCTAGGCAGTGGGGTTAAATGACTTGCCCAGGGTCATACAGCTAGTAAGTGCTGTGTGTCTGAGGCTGGATTTGAACTTAGGTCCTCCTGAATCTAGGGCCGGTGCTCTATTCACTGAGTCAGCTAGCTGCCCCTAAGCACAAGTTCTGATAGGTCTCTCCAAACTGGAATGGCTTCCAGTATGGATCCACTGGTGGGCTGTTTGTCTGTCTTCCAAGGCCCACTGGAGTATGTCTGGCGAGACACTGACTCATCACCAGATGGGTGCCCCCGAGTAAAAAATTCAGAGGGACCATAATCTAGTGGATAGAGTGGGGCATTTCATATCAAGATTTGGGTTGAAATTGTGCCTTAGACACTGACCAGCTATCCTGGGCTTCAGTTTCCCCATGTGTAAAATTCCCCACTTCTAACTTTAAATCCATGATCTTTTAAAATTTTCTTTTATGTCAGGGGTTCTTAACTTTGGGGTCTGTGAACTTGTGGGTTTTTTTAAAAACTATTCCGGTAGTTGTATTATAATGTATTTCCTTTTAATCCTATGTGGTTTACTCATTTAAAAACATTCTGAGAAGAGGCCCCTAGGCTTCACCACCTACGACAGGGAGTCCATGACACCAAAATAGTTAAGGCCCCTGCTCTCAGCCCCTGATGTGATTTGCCGTGCGAATGTATCCTTGCAGGGTTTGAAAAGCTTGCCTTCAACCACCTAGGCACTAACTACACTAGAATTTGGTGCACTAGAGTTCTTTTTGCAAATTTACAAAAGGAATTTGTTACATAAGAGGCAGCTGTTTCATTTATAATTTAATTTTTATTACATTATTTATTAAAATGGAACCCAATTCCACACCTTGCTCTTCATGCCAACTTAATCAGCCTGAGGTTTTTATCTGCATCCACCTTCTCAACAGATTTTGTTTCTAATTCCTATTATTTTAGATAATTTTTTTTTAACTGCCAAGGCCTTAGGCCTAGTTACCTTCTCAGATAAAGAAATTGTTTACAGTTGGTAATGTGAATGGAGTGAGGTCTGGACTGAAATAAGAAAGCATTCACTCCCCTAAAAGTCTCATCCAAAGGAGAAAATCCTTGTCTCTTCACTCCTTTGGGAGTTGAAGTTTGGCAAAGAAATATTTCACGGTACTTGGCTTGCGGTTTGCCATAAAGCCAGGTTTCATTCATAACATTCATTTGTGTTTGAATTTTTCCACGCTCTTCATGACCCCATTTGGGTTTTCTCGGCAAAGATACTGGAGTGGTTTGCCATTTCCTTCTCCAACTTATTTTATACATGAGGAAACTGAGGCAAACAGGGTGAAGTGACTTGCCTAGGGTCACGCAGATAGTAAGAGTCTGAAGCTGGATTTGAACTCGTGAAGATGAATCTTATGTATGCAAAGCCCAGTGTTCTATCCACTATGCCACCTAGCTGCACCTAAGATCCTTTAGTCAAGTGGAAAGCCCCAAGTGCCTGGGTTGCAGGCCTACCTCTACAGCATCTCTGGCAAGGGGTCCAGTCAGAAGCAGTGTGGTCCAGTGGTCAGCTCACTGCTGTTGGAGTCAGAGGGCCTGGCTCTGCTGCATGCACACCTGTGTGGTCTGGGGCAGGTTAACTCATGACCCTTCTAGGACTCGGTGTCCTCAGCTGTAAAATAAGGGGCGTGGAGTAGATGCCTCTGATGTTACCTTTGAGCACTAGAGCCAGGACTGTGAATCCCTTCCACTCACACGATCCCTTTTTACTTCTCACCTGAATTATCACAATGAACGTCTTGAAGTCACTCGTGGAAGGTGAGAGGGTGTTTTTGGCTTTTGGGGTGATAGGGAGGAGCGTCGTATTCTCTGGTTTGCTTTAAAATGAGAATGATCGTGCTGGATTGGTATGGTTTTTGTTTTAGGGTCAAGAAGATTTGACTGAAGAGAAGAAACGGGAATTGGAGCATAATGCCGAAGAGCCATATGGGGAGAATGATGACAACGTGTGTGCCGCATGTTTCGTTTCGAGTATAGCAGGAGCCAGCCTTGCTCAGTGGGCCGGGGGCTAGCCGCTCAGCGGTCTTGGGTAGTGGCTATGTGGGCTACCGTTGTAGCCTTGCCATCTGGAACAGAAACCATCACAGTCTTGGGAAAAGAGGAACAGCAGCAAGAGAAAGAGCAGGGGGTGGATGAGAACCTTCCCGACCCTGTCCCTTTGAATCACCCCTCCTCACTTGGTGCCTTTTCCTCTTCCGTTTGAGGAGTAATTTTTAAAATCAAGTGTTTTACCAAAACTGTATTGAACATCAGTACAGCCATTTAATTTAAATGAATTAATTTCAAAGTAAAAAGGAACCAACCATTTTCCATCCCTCCTTCAGAGTTCCCGTTAGGATTCCTTTCATACTCACTTCTTGCCTTTCACCATCATAGTGTATACTCTTTTTCTCATTGTCTTACTTTTTGCTACTTTCCGTTATTTGCCACATGCTGGCTGGCTGACCTCTGGACAGGTCAGCCCTTTGCCTCCCAGTGCTTTGGGCAACTCTCTAGGACTAGGAGATACCAAGAAGGTGCTGACCTGCTTGATGGAAGATGTTTACTCGCCTTGGAGTTCCCCATGCCAAGGATCTCGGTGTCCCTGGATTATTTTCCACTGGGCTTTCCACAGTACTTTGTGATCCTTGTACATGGTCTTAATGCCATTAGCACATTAGATCAGTATATCCCAAATGTCTCACCTTACTTTTTTTTTTTTTGGCAAGGCATTTGGGGTCCAGGGTCACACAGCTAGTAAGTGTCAAGTGCTTGAGGCGGGATTTGAACTCCAGTCCTCCTGACTCCAGGGCCGATGCTGTATCCACTGCACCACCCAGCTGCCCCTCACCTTCCACTCTTGATGCATGTGTAGATTGTTTCCAGTTTTGTTACAACTGCATATAATGCTGCTGTGAGAATCTTTGAATAGACAGCTTTTCTATTTGTTTGTCTATTTGTTTATTTTTAATAACACTCTCAGGCCAGAGTCTTAGCAGTGGGATTACTTGGTCAAAGGATATGATCTTTCTTGTACCTTTCACCAACTACTACCAGATTGCTCTCAGAAAGAAAAATCCACAAGCTTGCAATTTTACCAGCAGTAGAAGAAGATGCATGTTTCCGGGCAGTCCCTGCCAGAGTGGAATTTGGCTGCTTTTAGTTATTTTTGCCAGCTTGATGCAGGGCCCCCCGGTCATTTTCATCTTCATCTCTTTGATTTCCACTGAGGGTGAATGTATTTTTCTAGTGATTAGGAACACCTTGCGTTTCCTCTCCAAAAGCTTTTCAAAGAACACTTTTTACTGCCCACCTTCTTCCCCACTAATTGTTCTATCCCTCTCTTTTTTCGTTGTTTTAAACTTTCAGGTGGATGATAAGAACAATGACGCCCAAGAACAGGCAGCTCGAGAAGTAAACCCCCGAAGAGGCCGTGAAGAAAACTATGAGGAGGAAGAGGAGGAAGAGGAAGGCGGGGCTGTGGAGAAAGCTCGCGGCCGAGCGGAAATGTGAAGCTCTGGGGGGGCTTCAGCAGAGGGCTCCTCTTCAATCTGCTCCTGGACAGTGTGCCTGCTGGACACTAGGATATTTAAGGACAATTCAGAGCTGCAACTTTTTTTTTTACTTTTATATTAGATGCCCGCATTCCTTTATATGAATATAATATTTTGATATTCTAGGTTAGTGCTTTTTTTGTATACAGGCTAAACACGAAGAAAGAGAAGCACATCCGAGACAAACCGTAGGCTCTGACTCACGTCTTCCTTTCTTTTTGGGTGGCCAGTAGGGGTGGTGACACCATCAAGCTTGTTAATTCTGTTTGTGTTTACCCCAGGCATTTCCAAGCATCTCGTTTCTGACACATATCCCATCCCAACAAGCAATGTAGGCAAAAAACAAGTGGGGCTCTGGGGCCCATAGACCACAGATGGTTAGGTCGGTAATTGTGTTCCCAAGTTCCTGTGTTCAACTAGGTAAGAATTTTAAGACGCTAGGTTATAGGGAAGGTGCTGACCTGCACTGATATAGAGTATTTGCTCTCATGGGAGTCCCTACGCCCATGATATCTGTAACCCTATATTATTTCATGTTGGTGTCTTCAGAATATTTTGTTTAGCCCTAGTCTGATTCCAATACCAGATGCCCATGCAGGTGGTATACACTTGACCAAGCCTCTAATTCCCATATATGGCCAATGTCTTTTTTGGACAATCAGATTCATATTAGTGAAAGTGCGTGCATGTGTGTGTGTGTGTGTGTGTGTGTGTGTGTGTGTGTAAGATTTCCCATTGCTGCTTCTGGAGGATGTACAACACTATAATCACCTAAGGAGCAGTTGGGCCAAATAGCAGGAGTATCCCAGTGGCACTAGAATGACGTGAGATGCCTGTAGACCACTTACCTAAGTCATTTTAATGGTCAAGTGAGGCAGGGTGAACCAGCACCTTAGAGTTGTTTTGTTTTGTTTTGTTTTGTTTTTAGAAAGAGGCTTGGTACACTTCTTCTCAGCAGCTTTTTTTTGTTTTTCCTCAGTATTCATGTTGAGTATTTTGACTTTGTTCTTTCTGGAATTAGCTGGTAGCATCAGGATTGTCAAGGTTGTGCCCAGTCCGTCTTGGCCGTTTTTCAGATCGCTTTGCTATCACTTACTTACTTAAGCACCAGCTGTCAAAATGTAGTCCATCAGAGTGAAGATATATTTCCCTAAGCATACCATTTAACGTAATCGTTTTGCATGGAACTATATATAGCAAGGCATTATACATTCAGATATAATATACTCATGACTTTCGTTGGCAGCGGTTAAGTCTGCTTTCTCTCCCCCCTCCAACCCCCCATACATAAGGCATGATGGTAATTCTGATTTAATGAAGCTCTTTAAAAAGTCAGAATTTCCCAGAATGTTCTGGTTTTGGAAGTTGAGTGTTTTGTACGTTCAACACTTACATCCTACCATAAAGTGAATCATCCCTTTAGGATGCATGGGCCAGTGTTTCCTGGATTTGGTTGTGGGCTGTGCTGCAATGACTGTGGAGATCACTTCTCCCAGGGGGTCTGGAAAGAAGACACTTTCTAAGAGGGAAAAACTGCCGAAGGGAGGGGTGCTTGAGAGCTATGATTTTCCTCCCAGATGATTGTCAGACTTTAGTGACATGTAAATGTTAGAGTTGACTTAGTTCAGAAAAGATAAAAGAAAAAAAAAACATTTTAACCATCTAATTAAGAGCCTCTTCCAATTAATTTCCCATTAAGTTTTCTTAAAATGCATTTCTGTTCCACAGAGGACTACATTTGTTTCAAAGCTGGATGTGAATGCCACCAGCAATAAGGGGTTAAATGCATAAGAAAACATTTTTTTAAAACCCATATACTTTTGTAATTTGTATTAATTCTTTCCAAGTAATGAAAAGAAGTTATGTTCTTACAATTTTGATATTGATGTAATTTACCCTTTAAAAAAACTAACTTTTATGTTCATTTCTAGTTTTGACTGTTCCTGGCTGACTGTTTTTGTAATTATGCATAGAAAGGTTTCATTCAAATGTATTTTGGGGTTTTCTAGGAATCATAAATCAACTTTTACCTTATGTATAAAAACTCACTGTAATGTAAAATGTATAATATTGTACATAATCTTCAGAATACAATTATTTTGGTAAATTAGTTTGTATTTTAATGTCCCAGTGGCAATATTTAATTATTTGAGGCATAATAGAATTTGGTTATAGATAATAAAGTCAAAAGACAGATGGTACATCTTTCTGAAGTGTGATATGTCTAAGAAGGGTCTTAATTTTCATAGCCATTAAACTGTGTCACACCCACAGCAAGACCCAGACTCGATCTGCCATCTGCCTGCCAATTGGTAACAGAACCAGACAGCTGGAGTCTATGGTCACATTCCTGTGGTCATCAGAAACTGAAGTACTGCTTCTGTTTGGGCCATGACTTATTGGTTCAACTCTACAGAGTACTGAGAGAGCTTCTGTAAAGTTCTGCTGTTGTGGCATAGACAAAACCACAGAATATTACAGTATTCTAATTTTATCCTAAAGTAGCAAAATGGACAGAAGAAAAATTATTTCATTAAGGACCCCAGTAGCAAGCAGCACTCTTTGGTAAGTATTTTCACTGGTTTTCAATGCTGTCTCGAGTTGTTAGAATCCCCTCCCTTCTCAGAGGATCAGGAATCTACTTAACTATCGTGTCTATTCCCCATCACCACACCGCCACCATAGACTAGATGCTCTTTGAGGGCAGATTGGAGCCAAAGACCACCTGAGTGCCAACTCTCTGAAGAATAGTTAGAAAAGTAAGAATTCCATTCGAATTTCTATTCTAGGAGTCTGCCAACCACCATGGAGGTTATGTGGAAGGATGTGGACAGGAGCTGCACAGGATAAAGAAGAAACGATGCGTAACAATCTCTACCATTGGAAGGAATAACCCTGTTACTGATATATATCTAAATGGAGCATTACATAGCTTTACCATCTATCCTGACATTATGCTACTGAACAGATGCTAGGCACTAGGCCAACTGGCCTGCCAAAATACTAACACGTTGTGGATCTAGGCATCTCCCCCACCTCTGTACACTTTGGGGTCTTTCCATCCACCCTATTGCTGGACTGTCCTCTGTCTGTTATCTTCCCCAATTGGAGTGTGAGCCCTTTGAGAGCGAGGACAAGGTCACTTTTCTGTGTGGATCATCAGTGCTTACCGCATTTGGTGGGGAGCCTCAATAAATGCCTATTCATTCATCCAAGTACTAAAGTATGAATCGGCAGAGATATTAAAGAGGCCGTTTGGCCCAAGTATTAGAGCACTGAGCTTGGAGTCAGGAAAAGAATTGAAATCTGACCTCAAACTTACTAGTTCTGGCACCGTGGCAAATCCCTTAATCTTGGTGTCTGACTCTAGGGCTTGTCTGCTCATAGGCAGGTTTGGATTTGAGTTGGGGATGGGAGTTCCCACAACAGAAACTCACCATTGATTAAGAGCCTTTATTGCAGTTCCATGTCCACTTAGGATTTCTGCGAACGAAGGCTTAGCTTCCAGGAATAAACATGATAATCTCTCTGGATTGTACCATGACCAGACTACATGTGGAGTATTACCTGCGTTTGAGGACATTAATAAGCTGGAGAGGGCATTCAGGGGAGCAGGCAGGATAAAGAAGGGCCTACCTAGAGTCCATGATATAAGGAAGTTGGTTGAAGGAACTGGGCGTGTAACACTTGGAAAAGAGAAGCCTAGGGTGAGAGGTGGGGAGAGGAGCTGGAAGAAGTCATGTCCACAGCTGTATGCAAAGTATTTGAAAGGTTCTCTTTGAAGAATGGTCATTAGATTACTTCTAAGCACCTAACTGAAATATTCTGGAGGATTCTGGTTCAGTGGTCTCTGGGCAATGTACTGCAGTTGTTGCTGATGAATTAATGCCGTAGACAGTCATGAACTCACCTATTTATAATTGTTCAAACCTGCAGGAACTATAGGGCAGAACCATGTGGCAGAAAAATGGCAGACATAAACATGTTTACAGCCATGTTGGAGTACTTTTTAAATTGACATTGAAAATCAGGGTAGTGTAATATATAGAGTGCTGGAATTGTGACCTTGGTGACCTGGGTGGGTTCCTGTCCCATCTCAGACACATTGAGACCTTGGGCAAGCTGGTTGACATCTCTCAACCTCAGTTTCCTCATCTGTAAAATGAGGATGATAGTGAGGGTATACATGAAACAATATATCTAAGCTTTCTATAATGTCTTACTGTTTCATTCTCATCTTTTTCAATGGGATTCAGATAGAAATGGTACCAAAAACAAGCAGTTAAACTGTTCTGTTTAATGTTCTATGAACTATTTCATAGATGGAGGAAATAACTGCTTTTTTTAGGTTAATAAAAGTATTAGGGTGTAAGCACATCTTCTGTAGGCTTCTCAAAGTTTCCTCAATACAGCTCCAGTAGCGGGCAAAAAGAGAGGGTTGATACACGTTGTCCAGTTCTCATGTGATTTTGATCTCTATATTTTGAATGTTTTTCATTTTGTCTAGCTTGGAGATTGAGTATTTAGTGTAGCAGTATCTATTAAAAATATTATTGCTCCCAGGTTTTTAATGGCTCTAGGTTCTGTCCAGGTGACTGTGTGAGTAGCAGCTTATTCTGTGATAACAGTCTAGTTCCAGTACAATGTATTGACTGAGCTCTCTATTTCAAAGTCTATTTCTGTAGTATGTGGATTTCCCATCAGTCGGCTGTGGAAGAGAGTGAGCTTTAGAAGCATAATTAGTACTAACCACCAGGTCATATCTTGATAGGTATTCAGCAGGTGCTAAAATTTTATGGCTTGTGGTGATGTGTTGGGCAGGTGCTACTGTTTATTTGCATTAGCTGCATTGATCAGGAAATCTGGACTCTTCCAGGATAACCCTACTCTAATTTCTACTGCCAATAAATTGACCCTGAATTGCCATCATAGCCTCTCTTGCTCCCTTCAGTTCCACAAACATTCACCCAACAATGTGTTGGTGGCCAAGTTCATACAGATGTCTTGCATGAAGGGCCAGTTATCATCATTAATTCACATTTCCTAATTTTGAGAAATTTAGTGATCATAAATGATGGGGTATGGGCCCAAGCCAAGACCTTTGCCCCTTGCTCTAAAAAGAATCTGGCTCCCATTTGTCTACAGGCCAGAAAACCCTTAAACTTTTCTTATTCTGGTCTCAAAAGGTTCCTTATGGATTCCCCTTATCTCCCTTTGAAAGCTCTAGTCTGTGATCTTATTCTGATGCCTTTCAAACTTCTTCCTTCCAGTTGCCTTCATTATCTGTCCCCATTGTCTATTCAATCTCTCAGGTATTCCAATCAGAATTCTCACCTAGACCCTTTTCCTAGCCTCTCCTCTGGCCACCCAAAGTTACTTTAGTGTATATAAGATCCACCCTGGCCCCCATTTAAAGGCTGAGACTTTCTCATGTTCAGATTCCTTAAGAGTCTGGCCTGTATGGTTTATGTCTAATAAACTTTTTCTCTAGATGAAAGAAGATTTGGGTTGAATTCATTGAGGCAGGGCTTGCATGTCGTGATCTCAGGGTCCCAGCACCCCTAAAACTCTAGACCTCATCAATAAATGCCCCACATGCCTCCAGTTCTAAATAACTTTGCTTTAACCTCAGGTCTGACCATGTCACCCTCCTCTCCCACCCCAACCCTCAGCCTGTTTGATGCACTCCCATGGTTCCCAGTACCTCCAAGATCAAATATAAACTCCTCTACTTGGCTTTTAAAGGCCTTCGTAACCTAGCCCCTTCCTACATTCCCAGTCTTCTACACTTTACCCCACTCTGTGTACTCTACAACCCAGTGGCACCTGCTTCATTGCTGTTACCAACACGTTCAACACTTCATCTCTTGATTCTGGGCATTTTCTCTGTCTGTGTCCATGCCTGGAATTCTGTCCTTCCTCATTTCTCCTTCCTGACTTCCTTGGCATCCTTTAAGTATTAGCTAAAATACTATCTTCTGTAAGAAGCCTGTCCTGGTCCCCTTTAATGCTAACATCTTCCCTCTGTGGTTATTTATAATTAATTAGATAGATAAATAGGCAGATCTAGCTATCCATCCATCTATCTGTCTGTCTATCTATCTATCTATCTATCTATCTATCTATCTATCTATCTATCTATCTATCTGTCTGTCTGTCTGTCTGTTTATCAATCTATCATCTACCTATATAGGTATGTAGATCTATCTACATAAATATATATGTATATGAGCCTATATAGATAGATCCATATACCTATGTATATAGACCCACATACCTATATAGGTAGATCGTATAGATAAATAGACAGATAGATAGATAGATAGATAGATAGATAGATAGATAGATAGATAGATAGATAAAGATAGATAGATCGATTTCTATCCTTGGCACTGTCAGATGGTAGAGCATAAGACACTGATAGGATTATTTTAATGATAAAAAAGAGACATTACCTTATACTGTATTGCTGCACCTTAAGGACCATGGGACTTTTTTTTAAAAATAATTTTAAAATTAAAAAAAAAGTCTTTCTTTAATATGTAATGTTTTCCCCCTTAATAGTTTTTTTCCAATTATATGTAAAGATCATTTCCAACATTCATTTTTGTAAAATTTTGAGTTGCCAATTTTTCTCCCTCCCTCCATCCACTCCCCCCTCCTTAAGATAGCAAGCAATCTGACAAAGGAAATACACATATGATCAGACCATGGGACTTTTCCATAGAACTTGAAGCTTAAGCCTATTATATGTGTTGTCTCCCCCCATTAGAATGGGAGCTCCCTGAGAGTAGGGACCATCTGCTTGGATATTTGCATCCCCAGTGCTTTACACTTGCTAACACTTAAGGCGGCATTCATTCAGTTGACATACTGTCTTCATTGGGCTATGACTTCTTTAAGGGCAACAGGAAGCATTTTTCATTATCATTTCTTTGTGGCCCCAGTGCTTAGTCCAGAGCCCAACACATAATAGGGGCTTAATAAATGCTTGGGGGCTTGACTCAGTCTGCACATCTGCAGTGCATTTCCTTCTCATTTCTAGTTTACATTTCCCTAGCTTCCTTCTAAAGTACATCTCAAATGCCATCTCCTATGATGGGCTTTTCCTGAACTCACCTTCTCTGTGCCCCCTTCAAGTCCCCCATGCCACCCAGTTGTTGGCACTCTCCTTTCCATAAGAGATCTTTATGTTACTCCT